GGACCACGAGGATTCTTCTTTGGGGGAGCATTGGCCCGGATAGATGCTGTTCAGGTTACTTTCTCTGGAAAGAGCTCCCCCTGTAAATTTGACCACGGCTGGGAGCAGGCAGCAGAGGTCACACTGGCATTTGGGCAGGTGGTCTTCGCATGACCCCAAAGGGCAGTCGGGTCTCAGGAAAGTTAACTGTGTAACATATCACTGTGTTCTCTATAGGCAAGGTGGGGATCATCATAGGGATTACAAAGAGCAGTCTGGGTTTCCCGGAGTTAAGGCTACATGAGAAGGGCCAAGAAGGAATATTCTGTTCCCAGAGGCACTCTGCATTCTGGATTTGGCTGACAATAGCGTTTTAGGGCTCTATAAGTCAGTGGGAACTCATTTTAAGTGAGAGAAAGACACACAGAGGAGAATTAGGTGTGAGCGAGAGAATCTGACGGGGCTTTAATGGACATCGTGGGTCAGATGTCAAGTTCTACGACGTGTGTGGCTGTGTGTCTTTGGGAAAGTGCTTACAGTCCTTAAACCTAAAATCCTCACTTGGATAGGGCAGCGATAGTACCTGCCTCCAGGGATTTATGAAGACTGAATGCGGTAACGAGGTCAAGGTGTTCGGTGGTTGGCATGAAGAAGACGCTTTGTGAATATCGACGTATCACGCGCCTCCCCGGGAAGGCCAGGAAGAAAGCCAGGGGAGAGTCCTGCTCGGGCTGGCCTCTAGCTCGGGACACGGATGAGAACCCACTTCGGGACAAATACCCAAACTCAGACCTTTGGTCACGGAGTCCATTCTGACTTACAGCGACCCTACAGCACAAGGTTAAAACCCACAGGGGTCCTCTGGTGGGTTCAAACCTCTAACCTTTCTGGTGGCAGCTGAGTGCTCCATCACTGCGCCACTAGGGCTCCTTAGGAAAACTAGAGATTTCCCAAATGTTCCTAGTCACGTGGCTTCAGCTCCCTGTCGTAGATTTGGATGATGCTCTGTTCCTCTTTTCCTGAGTTGTGGACAATTAATAAGACCCTTGGAGCCATAAGTTGTTTTTTTTTTGAGCCATAATTCCTTATGAAATGTATTCTGATTCTGGACTCTGCCCGTGGCTGTCAGTCCATTGTGGAGGGTTTTCTCTACTATATTAAGGGGCAGGATTAGCGTGGGATTAGGATCCATTACAATGGACCACTGTAGAGGTAGAGTGCTGTGGGAAAACCAGTTGGAGTCAGAGTGGGTCAAGAAGGATGGAGTGGGGGGACATGTCTGACCCCTGCCTCCTGGCAGTAGGGAAGCCAGAGGGGCGGGGGGAGTCAGAGATGGCCCCACGCTATGTGCTGTACTTCCTCTCTGCCTGTGCTCCTGCTTATTAATTACTCTTTTCCTTTCTGCTCATTCTCTCCTTTTAAAAAAGTGAATTCTTACAGGCACTCAATTTTTATCCTTTTTTCTTCTGTTATCTTTTTCTTTTTCATCTTATCCCATCACTCCACTCACCCCAGTCTCGATTTCTCTTTCTTTCCCGTTTTGCTTTCATCTTTGAGAGTGTGTTTAGCATGGGTGCCTGGACGCAGAGACCGTGGAACTATGCTGGTGACGGCTCTGGTGCTCCTTAGTGACCAGCCCCTAGGGGAACCCCTCTGGCTGCATCATCTAGATGTTTAAGATCGCTGGGCCTTGGCTGTCTGTTTCCCTCACTAACAAACACCATGCTTAGAGGTGGAAATGACCAGCTCAGA